GGTTCATTTTAGCGAGGCAGTGGGCGATTAGAACTCTTTCAAATCGATTGTGAATTGAAACTTACTTTCAATTCTCCCTTTAGTGATTATACACGTTTAGAGCTTCCACAAATCATGAGTGACACCTAGCAGTATGTCATGGTTACCCAAGCTAATCAGAAGAGGTGGAGAACCTATTCAGTTTAGGATTACAATGCAATACGGTCTTTCTCTAATACAATACTCTTGACCACATTGTTTGGATTGATAGTTTATTCATGTCTACTATCCAATGTGATTCATTTACTTATATGATTACCTTGAATGTGATTTGGAATGACTTCCTAAATCTCATTCATACTCTGGCCAGAGATTCTTAATCATATCATAGAGTATTCTCTCTCAAACGGTTTAGGTTATAGATCCCTTGTTGCGCATTCACTTGCCTCTATGGCTAAGTGGCTTAACCCCAACTATGCCGTGGACACCCGTGAATGGAGTGACTTTGACATAATCAAAGATCAAGGACCTAACCACAAGACAACTATGATGCCTCAGGTCAAATGACTACTTTGCATTATCCCAACCATGAGTTCTCATGTGACATGAGTATGAGAACTCTTCGTTGATCGTGTTCAGTGAATTCATTCCTTATTGAGCACCTACGTACTTGTCTTGGTGTCAGTCACACCAATGACTCGAGACCAGTCACTCTTCCTGAGAGAAGACACAGCACGTACTGATCTTAACGGACTGTCAATGCCCAATTGGCAATCCTATGATCAGGAACGTTTAGGATATGTATACGAAGGAGAATGGTCTCATAAATCTAACTTGTTTAAATTACATTCTCCTAATTACATATTCCTTGGACTTATCGTTTAAGCATATAACATTTATATGAGACGGCTTAAAACAATAATCTTTGCCTTTGATATTAAACTAGATTAGTTTAACATGTGAAATGTCCGTAAAGTATCATCATATGATTGGTTTTAGGGCACATTTCCAACAGAAGGAGATACCAAGCTAGTCATCCAGATGGTGCAAGATATTTGGATGCCCCCTTGGCATCTTAAACCTATCATAGAGGATATCAAATGGTTGGCTTCTGGGTTTCAACATATCAGTTTGAAACATATTTATAAAGAGGCAAATTTCGAGGTGGACGCATTAGCCCATATGGACCTCCAACCCTCATTTTGGGATTATTGTCTTCTGTTTTCGGCTATGGAGGACTTTAGTTTTGATTGTATTGGAAACAGTTGTATTAGAGGTTTCAAGCTTTAATAAATTTCTTCTTCATAAAAAAAAATAATAAAATAAAAAAAACTTCAATTTGCGTTGCCAAGGCTTCGTCTAGGTAGTAGGCTAATCACCGTTACGATTAATCATTAGGCAATTGAAAATTAAAAAAAGGTGCTTAGACCTACTTAGGCACCACCTAACCCGCTTATGTCACGATTTTCACTTATACAGAATATAGATAACTTTCATTTTTTGCATTTTATTTATTTTTTCACCAAATTGTAAGAGACTTGTTGAATACTTGGATGATCACTCATTATATGTTTGTTCTCAATGTTTTCAATATGTTCTAGTACTTTATAATTTATATGTTATTCTACTTTGCAATTCATGTATCTCCATACAATTATGTATTTTTTAAGTATAAACAAACACTTATTTATACAATATAAATAAACATTACGGTGTTACCTGACTAGTGCCTTACGTCTTTTAGAATCTTGGAACCACCAGATCGACCTCCATTTGATTCTTTAATTATCATGACTTGCATCCCATAGTAGAATATTCGAGATCCTGTTGTTGTCTAAAGTTTATAAATAAGTTTGTTAGCCTAGTTGTCATTCTAAACTTCTCAAGGTCCGATTCTCCTTTTTCCACCCTTTTAATTATATGCAAGGATTAACAACTTTGATATTTAGTGTAACATACAACAAGAAATTTGGTAGAAGAATCAATGGTGTGTTTGCTAATTCATAACATAGTTAATATAAGGAGTTAAATCCCGATTTCTGATTTTGAAAGTATTCATTTACGTACTAACCATGAATGAAGCCTGCACGAAATAAGAAATCCAACTACTCATGTTGGAGGAGTTGGATTCTTTGTGAAGCAAATTGTTCATTGCAATTGATATTGTCTCAACTTAATCACATATAACTAGGTACTAAGTTTTATTACAAAAAGGCATTGGTGATATTAGGGATGGAAACTCTCATATATTAATTGTGTATTATATTGTCATATGCTTGATGTGGGCCTCTATTCTCCAACGCATCGCCTCATTGGTCAAGTCACTATATTGGTGCCAATGCCAATCTTTTCAAAGGCCTAATCTTCTCAGTCGATATTCAATAACTGGAGCCAACACCAATTTTTTTGAAGGCCCAATCGTTCATTTAATACCCTTAAGTTGGAGCTAGGACAACTTTTCGAAATTCCAACTTAAGGAAGCAGATTGCTAACCAGTAATTCGGCCATGCAAAGTGTTGAGAGAATAGCTTGCTCTGATACTACGAAGAAAGTTGAGGTTCCATCATAAAATCAATTGACAATATGAGAAGAACCCAATTTACTTATAGGCCTATGTAAGATCTCTTATCCCATCAACATAAGATTCATTTTCAACACTTTGCAAGATATGATATTTCAAATGCTAGAGAAAAAAAAAAATTAGGATTGTAAAATCGTTTTCCCACTATGCACCCACATAAGTATAAAAAGGAAAACTAATGAAAAATGTTTGAAAACTTTGAGTTTTAATGATAAGGACAAAATAAAGAGTAAAATAAATAGTACCATGTTTGACTTTTAGTGTAAAAATATGATTTTTCATTAAAGTAAACAGTACCGTGGATTTTCGTTAAAACTTCCTTATAAAAATTCCAAATCACCGTTGATTAACATATATAAAGTTATTCGTTAAAAGGAGGACACAAAAAACAGCGGAATCAAAGAGATCGAATGGAAGTAGAACACAACAAGGCGCGCATGTGGCGCTGGAACTTTTGAATTCCAAGATGCACCCGCCAAAGTTTGCAGTAAAAGCTTCCCTTCTTGACCACCGTGCCACCACTCACGAGTCACGACCGTGTTTTTTTCTTTCTATCCTTTTTTGTTGTTTTCTTCCTCTGTTTTTGCCTTTTATTATTTATATATTTCACTCTTTAATTTCATAACATATCTTCTACGAAAAATAAAATAAAAAAAATTTGGTATTCCGCGGCGTCTGCACGTTTCGTCAAAGCCCTTTTTTTTTTTTTTTTTTTTTTTTGCCTGTTTAGTATAAAATTGTAATCATATATTTTTTACAAATTTAATAGAGTTTAAATAGAAACCGGATCTCCTCTTGAGCATAAGGTGGCGATCCTCTTTACCGGATCATCTGAACCATTGAAATTTGATAAAACGACTATAAATATGAGGATCCTCTAAAAATTATAATTATTATAACCGTTGGATCAAATTTCAATTACTCAAATAATCTGATTAGAAGGATCCCTACCCTATACTCATGAGAGAATCCGGTTCCGTTTAAATAATACGCACCTATAACAAAATTTTGATTTGTCAAATGTTACTTGAGTTAAGTTGGTTGGCAGTTTGGCACGTTTACCGGTTTTGGTCTAATCATTTTCTTTTTTTATTGTTTAGGAGTTTGAAGTGGTCTTATGATATGACTATTATTAAGATAACGGTTTAAGATTTTCTAATTTATTGGGTTAAGATTCTTTGACAGTCCACTGACAGGAAACGTAAATATTATTACTATGTTAATTCCCTTATTAGACGTGTTCTTTTGCTTTTTTTTTTTTTTGAGCTTGTCTCGTTCTCAAATTCATTGATACAGTGACAATTTGTGTGATTAAGTTGATATTTTATATTTTCTTAAAATTTTCTTGGATGGAAAACCTCTTAAATATTATCTCAAATGTTTTTTTTGGTATATATTGATTTCTTAGTATTACAATAAAACAGCTATGGTTTTGCTTCAATTCCTTTTCTATGAGGTAATCTTCCTTGCTTAACCCTATAAAGTGCTCCATTCAAAAAAAAAAAAAAAACCCCTATAAAGTGTTTGAAGATCATAAAATGACTTGTAATTTTCCAGTCAAAGTATCACAGTTTGACAAAGAGAAACGCTAATCAAACTCTTTTAAAGTGAGATTTTTTATAAACTTTCTACAATTTCATAATTTAACGTTAATTCTTATATTTACATTATAAAATATTATACTAAAATATGAAATGACATAAAATCCATAAAAATGAACTTTTGAAAAAATCTCCTTCACATTTCTCGTTTGACAAGTAAAAGCTGCCTCTTCTAAAATAATCAAGAATTATTTTGACCAACTAGCAATTGGTCTGATATTTTACTCCACTTTCATGCCCGATGTTTTTGTGGGCTTCAACTTTGTTACTTTTTCTTTTCAAAAACTTCACAAATGGTAATTTGAGATAAGTTTGCAGACCAATGACTATTTTCCTTTCTTTTTTGGTAAACAAGTTCAATTACGTTTAACTGCACGTTTTCGGTTGCGTTGCTTTCACTGGTGGATTAACAGTTTTGACAAGGTTTTTTGAAAAAAAAAAAAAACTAGAAGAAATATTATCAGTTTAGAAAGTTGGGAAATTAAAATTAGAAACCAAAATTAATTTTAAACGGATCATTTGATAACCATTGTAGTTTTAATTTTTTTTTCAGTTTTAAAATTTTATTTTTAGTTTTTAGCTTTCAGTTTTCGATCGAAAACTAAGCGCAGTTACTAAACGAATTTTTCAAAAAACTTAAAATTAGAAAGAAAAAAAAATAATTTCAATTCTCTCTCTTTCTACTACTACTAAAAGAAAAAAATAACACAAACCGAAAAAAAGAATTCAAAATTAAAAAATTTGTGTGAAGTCCTTTTCCAATTTTGTCCTTGTGGACCATGTCCTCCACCCCAATAACACCCTCGTCTCCGCAAATCACCCCACCATTCCCCAAATAAACCCTTTTCACACCTGCTCGAGACCTCCGCTCCCGGGCCCACGCTCCCACCCTATAAATGTCGACGCGAAGAACTAGAAATTCTCGCAACGACCGGAGCCCAGTATCGTCATTCCACCTCGCAAAGTGGTGAGTGGTGGTGAGTGGTGAGTGGTGAGTGGTGAGTGGTGAGTGGTGAGTGGAGAGTCGACAGACAAAGGTTTTGGAGTTTTTAGAGAGAGAAAGTGTGCGTCCTTGAGAGACACAGTAAAACGCCGAGATCGCGCTCTTGAAAATGGCGCATCGTCATCCCAAACCCTCATCACACTGGTAACACAGCTCTCGTCGTCTTCCTCCTCGTTCTTCCAAATCACCGGCTTCCAGGTCCCCCCCGCGCTCTCTCTCTCCCCTCACATTGCCTTCGGTTCTCTCTCTTTCTCCCTTCACATTGCCTTCAATTCTCTCTCTCATCGGCATTGCATCCAGTTTTCTCTGTACACATCCCTTTCATGTTTTGCACGTGCTCGCAACTTCACATCGTCACGGGTTCATCATTGCCGTGTCAAATTTTGAATTTTGATATAAGCATTTCGATTTTGGTGATTTTGTTTTCGGTAATTTGAAATTAATTTTTTTATTTTTTGAGTTTTTGCAGAGATGGCTGAGGCGGCGAAGGTTCTGTACATAGTGGTGGTGGACGATGGGGACAAGAGAGAGAAAGGGAAGGAGTCCTTTCGGTATACTCGTCCTGTTTTGCAAAGCTGTCTGCAACTCATGGGCTGCAAGCCCCGCCACGCCTTCAAGGTATCGAAAAAGTTTTTGAATTTCGAATTTCTGTGAAATTTTAGAACTTTTAGGCTTTTGGGTTGTGTTTTTGTTGTGGATTTGTTATTGAATTTATTGGTTTTGGGGGCTGATCTGGGTTTGCATGTAATGTGCTCTGAAATTTTGATGAATTTTGCAATTTTTGAAGTCTTGAATGTTACATGGTGGTGTTGCGTGTTCTAGGTGAAAGAATTATTTAAGTTTCGAGTCAACGAAGGCTTATCGGAAGACGTTTGGTCTGTGAATTTGTCTTGGTTGTACAATTGGCGTTCTATAAAGTCATCCTTATGAGTCATAGTTTGGGGTAGAATGTCATTATCTCAGATTAATTTGCTCTTAAAAAGGTGGGCTGTGACCGTTATGTTGTTCTTGCATCGCCTTCAACTTGACCTGTGAAAAATTATTCTTCTGGCCTCATTTGATTACTGTTGTTTCTGAACCATCTTAACTTATGATCTTCTCATCCTGTTCTCTATTTACTTTTTATTTTTTCCTTCAGTTTTGGTTCTTTGGGCAGTTACATTTTAACAGTCGACTTTGTTAGTTGATGGATCTCTCTGTTTTGACCAATAATCTCTGTTGAGGTTTATAAGGGTGTTTAATGTCAATTCTAGATGAATTTAAATTTCGAAATTTCCTGGTTTAGAACGACCCCTCATTTGTCATATGTATTTCCTGGTTTATTCAATCTGGATGTAAAAGTGGGCAGGGTTTGTTTTTTGCGAGAAATCCCTTGAACTTTGGTTATGTACCAAGTGGTGTGGAATAAGCGAGCGGAAACCATTTTAACTGAATAGGAGTTCCATTTAGGTTTGTTGTGTGTGAGAACTCCCTTGAACTTTGTGCGTACGTGCTGAGTGTTGTGCAAACAGTGGAATAGGCGAGAGGGTAAATGGTTTGATTGAAAAATGTTCTATTTTGGTTTGAAATATAATCCATGCTGTTTTATCATTTGTTTCTTCTTGCTGTGGGTATCTCATGGATCATGCTTTTTAAAGCGTTGAAATGTGCAGAGCAGATCCTTTTGGGTGTGTTTGTCTTAATATATTAGTATATTCACTTTCCATTAATCTTGTATATGGTTTATTTGTTCGGCTATGGAGCTTTATGTTTTGACATCATTCAAGAACGCATTGTTTTAGCGATGTCTACATTAACGGATTGGATCATTAAATTTTTATCCCTAATCAGCTTTTTGTTCCAGTAGTTAGTTTGTAAACAGTATTGTACAATAGCTTTGGTGCTGTAGTTTTTTTGTTTTGAACAAACGATGTTATCTACACTAAGAGGGAGAGAGGCGGGGGAGGGGGGGGGGGTGTTGTTTAGCCTCACAATGGGCTAGCAATAATGTGGTTCAAAGTTGCCTTTGGCGAGAATTGAACGTAAGACCTCTCACTTACAAGTGAAGAGGAATACCACTAAACAAGTGGCGCTTTAGTTTAGTTCTTTACAAAGTGATTTCCTTATTATGTTATGAACTTATGATGTAGGTATGGTCTTTATTTTTATATAACTAGGGTTCATGTGGGTCATTTGGTTCATTATTAGAATAGTCTTCTGATGATGGTGTATTGAAAGGTTTTTTTCTTACTTGACTGATTCCCATGTTTTATTTTACTTTAGAAATTTAACCACTAATGGCAGACATATTTTTCTTTGATCAGATTAGCCAACGGGTTTTTGAATCGATAAGAAATGAGAGTTCATCTAATGTCTTGCTTCTGGAAGGAACAGAAAATGTTCCCCCCCGGTAAAGCTGAGGCTTGCAACCATTTGGGTTCAGGGAAAGATGACAGAAGCAAGAGTATACCATTTGAATTGTACAAAGCACGCACGACTGTTGTGGTTAGGAGAAAAACCTTCTTAAATGTTGTTTGTGATGCCCAGGCTGAGTACAAGTATGTTGGTCCTAACCAGCAGGCAGACTTAGCTTTGGCATGCGGGTACGGAAGAGTCTTTCATCTTTACTGGAAATAAATGGAACTTACATACATGCAGCAATATACAAACTGCTTTCTGTGAATAGTTTACCTTTTCCCGGCAATCTCTGCTTATGTTGTGACTATTTATTCACATGCCGTGTCAACATTATGCATTTGAATAAAATATGGAAACACATGTTTTTAAAAGTCGTAACAGTGGAAATTTCTATGGTAACACTACTGTAAGATTTGTCGGAAATCTTTTGGAACCTGTATAGTAACAATGATATTTTTGAACTCTTTTTTTTTTGTGGACCAGTGGCATAATAATTGGTTAGTTTTGTGGTGCACCAATCATTCGAGTTCTAGATTATTTATGGAGGGGTTTTAGTAATGCAGCTGGAATAGGAAGATGAACATCATTGTAAATATTGGGATTTTGAAAGGAAATATTCTGTCTTGCTGTATGGCCTTGTGATGTGGAGTCATTATCAGTTTTGTTTGCAATCATTTGAGTTAGAATTTCTGTTTGTTTCCTAATTTTTATTTGGATAATTATCTACTTGCAGAATCAGGGAAAGGAAGGAATCCGTGATTGTATTGTTGTGTGGCACTAGTGGCTGTGGAAAATCTACTTTGTCCTCATTGCTGGTATTTGAATTCACTAGTTATTTGTTTTCATTATTTCCTTTTGGGTTTTCTGTAGTCTTTAAGTGTTATAATGATGTGCTTTTACTACGTCTTTTTATTGTCTGTAGCATTTAAGTGTTGTATGATGGAAGTTTTATTTTCTGTTATGGGTATATATTCGTTTTGAGTGTAATCCATAAAGTCTTGCAGGGTAGCAGGTTGGGAATTACAACTGTGATATCTACCGACTCAATTCGGCACATGATGAGGAGCTTTGTAGATGAAAAAGAAAACCCTCTGCTATGGGCTTCAACTTATCATGCAGGGGAGTGTCTGGATCCAGTGGCTGTTGCAGAATCCAAAACTAAAAAGAAAGCCAAAAAATTGGCTGGAACTCCATGCTCACTTCCCAAAGATGGAATGCATGATGGCTCTTCCTCTGGGAAATCTGATACGCGATTGTCAGACATCAGTTCGAGTACTGCTGAATTAATCAGTGCAAAGCAGTTGGCTGTTGAAGGATTTAAGGCTCAAAGTGAGATGGTGATTGACAGTCTTGATCGACTTATCACTGCGTGGGAGGAACGAAGAGAATCAGTTATTGTGGAAGGTGTTCACTTGAGCCTTAATTTTGTGGTATGTATCTATAATGATATTTCCCTTTGTTGTTTCGATGTTATATTTAGTTGCCTCTCCCTCTCAAAATAATTATTTTTAATCCAGATGGGGCTTATGAAGAAACACCCTTCTATCATTCCATTCATGATATACATCACAAATGAGGACAAACACATGGAACGGTTTGCTGTCCGTGCAAAGTATATGACACTGGACCCAACAAAGAACAAGTATGTGAAGTATATTCGTAACATCAGGACAATCCAAGAATATCTCTGTAAGCGAGCTGACAAGCATCTTGTCCCCAAAATTAACAATACAAATGTTGACAAGAGTGTGGCAGCTATCCATGCAACGGTCTTTAGCTGCCTCCGTAGGCGTGAAGCAGGGGAGCAACTTTATGATCCCACAAGAAACACAGTTACTGTAGTGGATGAGGAGTACAGGAACCAGTGTGCAGCCAATTCTTTGAGTTCTAAGGGGATGTTTCAGTTGATCCAGAGAAAAGGTTCGTCTAGGCATCTGATGGCTCTTGTAAATACCGATGGATCTGTGGCAAAGGCCTGGCCTGTTGATTCAGTTGATAGTAATGGGAAGCCTCTATATTGCCATGGGACTGAGATGGAGATTGGAACTGCAGAGCAAGTGAATCTTCAGTTTGGTCTCTATGGGATCAGTGCTTGGCCCAGTGATGGTGGTCCAAGTTGTGCTGGAAGTGTAGATGAGTCGAGGGGTGAGGGAACTGAGATTGGAAGAAGTATTCCCTCTTCCTGCTGCAGCTCGCCACGGATGTCTGAGGGACCCGCCAAACAGGTACTTATAGCACCAATTTGAATTTTCCAAGTCTCTCCTACATCACTTTTCTTCAGTTAGGTATTTTACACTGTGCAAGTTGAGATTTGCTTAACAAGTTATTTAAATCAGCGGATGAGTCATCGTAGAAATTAGTGACATAGGTCAACAGTTTAACTGTAATGACAAGTAAGATTCAAATGATCAGTTCCGTTTAGTCTTTTCTTCTTGGATTTCTCATTGTTTTCCTACCCTTCAGCTGAAAGTGGACAATTCAGTGCATGGAAGTGACGAAGAGGTTGATGAAGAGGCTGAAGCAGGCAGTGATGAAGAACTAAGTGATGATGGAGACAGACAGTTGTATGAAGAGGTATGAGTTGGTTTGTTAGAAATTCTTATTAGGTTATATTCGAACCCTAAGAGGTCTGGACAATAATTGAAAATTCATCAACTCACATCAAATATATTATGATCGTTGCTATATTCACGTCATAATAAAGGTCCTTACATGTATAAATGTATATGTATATGTTTATATGATACAAAACTTCTGATCTTAAATGAGGATATTTATATGGGAAACTTGGGATATTTAAACTTATTTAATCCTGGTTAGATCAGATGAGAGTTTGGATTTTACTTTTTCATGAATTAATTGTTTAAACTTTTTACTATTGTGCAGATAGGGTCGGTGGACGAGGAGTCTACAAAAACGGATGATGAGTACGATGACCTAGCAATGCAGGATGTGCAGGAGAATGGATACTGGTTGGGAAATGATGATCGGGGAGCCAATCATAAAATTTTCCCTGTTCTGGAGGATCAATCAGCCGATAAAGAAGGGGATAAGTATCGCCAGAACCTGGATCTCTTCCGTAGAACTAGATCCGAGTCATTTTCTGAACCATTATGCTCATACTCTTCTTTGTTTATTGAGAAGAATGAGCTTCCAATACCGTGCTCTGGCAACATGAAATTTAGAAAACGCCGCTCCCTTAGCATTCCCGCCTTGGGAAGGCATGGGTCATTAGTTGGGGGTCCCATACTTTCGGGAGCCCCTCAGTGCTAACACAAGAATTTTGATGGAGCTTAGTGCTTCATCACTGTTCTTTTCTTCCTCTCTCTGTGTAGCCCGCCTTTTTAGCGTATTTAGTTAACTTAATCCTTCCCTATCTGTACAGTAATCTATTTAGGCTGTTGGAATGGAATGCTATGAATCTATGGTAGAATGAGAACATGATTTACGACTAGTTTCAGTATGGGATGCATAGAATGAGCTCGAGATTTTTGAGTTGTATGCTACCGCTATCTATGGTTGAATTCCGACTTGCTTTTCGTGATTCTTTCTAGCAGGGATCAAACCGGCTGTTTGTTCAATCTCTGTTCAAGTAGCTGAGGCCAGAAAGGGGAGGAATTGCGTCTTCTAGTCTGCTAATGGGTGACAAGTTCCCGAGCCTGGTCTCAGGCGTCGGGCACCAAGACAGTTCTAGGTGTCTGATGCTTGGGTTCGACCTAAGGATTCGGATACCTGGGCACGGTCAAGGGCATCAATCCCTAGCTCTTGTACCATGCGTCGGATTCTTGGGGCAACTCGTACTCACCGTTGTCTCGGGTATCATCTCCTTGTGTCACCAGGTTCGGTATTGAGTGACGAATCTCCATGTACCAAGTCTACTATTGGGCCTCAGGTCATTAGTCCGATCTCAGATGTTGAGTCTTCAGGTCTAGGTATGGTCCTGGACATCCGATTGCAAGCTCGGTCTTGAGCGTGGTGACACATGTGCAACTGTCACGAGCTCTGCTGTCCCGAGCTTGCGTTAGAGGTTCCAGAGACGTGGGATCATGATATCAGTTTCGTCTTAGTTAGTTGTGTTTTGACGTCCCTTAGGCGTTGGGGTATGTGTGGCTAGGTCCCAATTCTGACCATGCAAGCATCAAGCAACAAGTATGATGCAGAAGAATTAGAAAATAACTCACAAATCGAGAAAAGAAAGTAAAAAACGTAGCTTTAGCAACTCACTTGGCATATTTGTTTACCAATTCCTTTTTGCACACCACTTCTTCAAGTTTCAACTGAGGCTGAGTGTAATCCAAAATTTCAAAGAAATAAGATTTGAGAGATGGACTTGAAGCAAAGATGCAGACTTGTTTGTGAGGAAATCAAGACATTAGAAATACATAAAATAAAAGAGACATTCCTTGGAATATTCCACTCCATGCATCTCTCTATCTACTTGTCCTTCCTTTGGCATCTTTTACAGTGTTACTTGAAAGGCGGAGTAAAATTTGGCTTATTTTTATTTCGTTACCTGGAACTCAATTTTATTTTCACTTTACTCTATGTAACTCAAAAGTTACTACTATTTATTAAACTCACTTTGCCATGTTTCTGTTTCTTTTGTCAAATAGTCACTAAATTGTTGATATGGATGTGTAAAAATGTAATACCATAGGATTATTTTAGTTACACTCCTTGGAACTTGATTTTGATTTCACTTTATCCTACGAAACTCAATTTTGATCCTACTTTGCCTCCTAAAACTCACACGTCGTCATTTTAAAATCTCCACTATGAATAGTTAAATGTTAACGCATAATGAAGATGAAATTGATTATAAATTTCAACTATGCATTAACATTCGATAGTTATAAAATATTAAGTTTAAAAGAAGAAATCAAGAATTGGTTCTGCTTAAGTTTTCCAAAGCTTTCATCCGTTTCTCAATATCCATGAAGTTTGCATGGTTCTCTGCCTGAGATGTTGTATAGGTTCTTTGTAATTCATCAACAAAGGCGTTGATCTTAGCAAAGCCTCCCAAATCTGTTCCATGGTGTGGGGAGGTCCAGTCGCAGGAGCTTCGTCGTTCTCTGTGATGATTGTAGCATTATGGGTTTGGTTACTCAGACCAGGAGTTGCGAATACGTCGGGAATCAAATTATTCCCAGCGAGAGTGATGAAGGCTCTAGGGATTGGATTGTCTCCTGTCACCGTGTCAACGTTTGGGTTAATAGAGCTTTCTTCTGTAGGCATACTTGTGGTATAGTGATTTGATCGAGAGAAATATGAGCCAATTCTCAACGAAAGCACCAATTATTGGAGCCAAATTCGCGTACCGTCGTGAAGGGTAGAGATGCACGAACTCGATAACCTAAAAAAATAAAAATAAACAACCATAAGCAGCCCAGGACTAGGGTGTGCCGACCAAAGGCTCTTCAATGATCAAGTTAGTAAGCAAATATATGAAACTCAAGCAGTAGGCAAGAAAGTATGCGATAATTGTGTTACCAGAGATGACTCCTAGAAGGGGGTATTTATACCAGTCAAAATAGAGTCCTTTTAGGATATGGAATCTATTAAATCGGGAGAATCCCAAGGATATCTAGGAGTAGATATTGAATCCTCTTAGGATATGATTACTTGCAGAGCACCAATCTTTAGATTGTAAGGATTCCAAGAATATAGGAAGCCTGGCTGATTGCTTATTGGATCATGTTTTCGTATCTTATGAAACAAGCATGATTAATCTTAACAAAGTCGTCGGACTTCGCCCACTGCTCCAGAATTAGATGGTGGTGGCATTGTTGCAGAATTTGTTGAGTCCATGACTGGACCACTGAGGTGCTAGTATTTCGATTCGCCTGACTTCGACCCTGAAAAATCATGGTCCCACAAATACCATACTCCTAGGGTTTGCATGATTGTCAAAGGTTTTCACAAAACGTAATGAATTTCTACTTGTTCATATTTGTACTAAGGATAATGCTAGGGAGACCAAATTTTTTAAACCAAATTTGCAAACCAAATGATATGGTTAATTGTTGATGATTGTATTATTATTTAAACGTTGATTAACGTGCTTATTTCCTATTTGTGACACATTATTTGATTTAAAATTTTGATTTCCTAACATTACCCTTGTATTAACTACCATAACAAGTTACATGTAGAGATATATGAAGAGTAAAATCAAACACATTTTCATATTGGAATATTCTAAAAAATATGTCACCGGAGGGTAAAAGGTCAATTTGCATCTTTGCACTGGAGTTGCCCTAATGGGGTCACCTTCTAAGATGTTAAAAAATATATAATTTCATATTTTTATTTGTATTCTCTAGCGAAAGTGGATGTTTTACATTCTTCCATTGGAATCACTACTAGAAATTATAATTTTACTGACAAATGATAAGCCGACATAGCAAAAAATTTTCGGCACAAGAGTCCTTGCTCGACGAAAATTTTAATTTGTCGGCTAAATACTCGCGCTAGAACCAATTTACAATGCCAATTTTGGCCGAGAAAATTAGAATGTTAGCCGACGATTATTTTGTAGGCGTAAATTCGATGCCCTAACGAATTTTGTTTTGACGGGTAAACTCTGGCGGGAGCTTTTCCCGCTGTATTGAAATATTAGCCGACAATGTGAGGCAACAAAGTATTTCATTGGCACACTGATAAAAGAGGCAACAAAGTGTGTCATTGGCAAAGTGATAATAACTCTACGTGATAAGAACAAACTTATCAAATTTCCAAGGCAATCCTAACCTATTTTGTCGGTTCAAATCCCCCAATTGCTCATGATCTCCTTCCCATATTCTTCCTAATCCTATTTTGTCGGTTCACATCCCACAATTGCTCATGATCTCCCTTCCATATTATTTCTATTCCTATTTTGTTGGTTCACATCCCACAATTGCTCATGATCTCCCTCCTATATTCATCGCTGTCAGCGCGCCATCCGATTTCATTTTCATAAGAATTCCTATTTATCTTGTAACAACTCGACAGGGTCTTTCCTGCTCAGAAACAATTTTGATGATCCTAAATCCTTAGGTTTATTTATTAGGGTTCTTGCACTCTTAATTGACTCTCATCCACGTCTCTGCCTCTATCATCTTTCTCGCTTCTCTCGCTCTCACGATGATCTCCATAATTTTGCAGAAATAACAACCACAAGCAACCAAGCTTAACGGTGAGGATATAACCAAACTATTTAATATATTGCATAATTATAGTTTGGTTCAAGACCTTTAGGCTACCATTACTTTTTGTTCTGATTTTTTCTTGATCAGGGCATGTTATTGTTCGGCTCTTGTAACATAGGGTGCACTACAAATTGAAGTAAAGTTTTTGATTTGGATGTTTTATGCATCAATGTCTTTGATTTTTATTCTTACCAATGAATTCCAATGCACTGCATATATGTATTTACATTTAACTTAAACTTGGTTTTTTTTTTCTGTAGATGCTAATGATTAGCCAAAAAAAGAAACGACCTCTTGTGTCAACAAGAATCCCACTTCTGCCATCCTAGTCACGGTCTACATCTGCCATCGGAGCTGCTCCTCATACTTTTCATCAAAAGAGGAATAGACCTGATATTTTAAGGCAAACTTACCTTTCTCGCACATAATCTCATTCTATGGGTGGTGCGACCAGGAGTGATGCTCCTCAGTTAGAACCAAGAAACATTGATCCTCCAAGACCTTGGCGGGATAACACCATACCTTCTTCGCCTTGTATTTGTTCCCAGACCATAAGTGTGCGAGCATGACCTCTCTTCATCACACAATCTCAACCCGTAATTGGTACTAGGGAAACTTCTTATCACCATCGAGACGTAGTAGGATCCCAGCTTGATGATACTTATAATGATTTACCTACTGAAGCACCTACTAGAAAGAGGAGTGCAGTTCGTCGTTGACACGGGAGTAAGAAATTAAAAAAACTAATGTGATATACCATGATGACCAATGTCATTACGTTACACCAATTATCATTGCATATTAATGCCCTTTTGCTTTTCCATTGTAGGTGTTAATGGTTCTGTACCAAACTTACCAGATGAAAGACCAATGCGCGGGGCATGTTGGTTGGTTAAAACTAATCATATTGTTCGTATTATGCAAGCAAAGATCATGGTTGTTATTGACCTAGTGCATAGGTGAGCAATTGATAAAGTTGTTCATAGCTTGTTGGCACATGATATGGGGGCTATTATTTACCAACATTGCCCAATGAACACGACATATTGGAAAAGAATGTCTGACGAGTCGAAGTCAGACCTTGTCTTGGAGATCACTTAGAGGAGAACCGTTAATGTTTCTTTTGGGCTCGATTTTTTTTGTTAGCCTTTGATTGTTTCTATATTTCACAACGCAATAACAGTTTCTTAGCTAGTGTCATATACTTAACAAAAAATTAAGACTAAATGCATGCATGAATCAACTAAAACAATACCAGAAACTTCTCTGACTGAAAATGTTTGCATAAAAACTCCCATTGTCTAGGTTCCCCACATCTTGAGTTAATTTCTATTTGAGGATTGGCCAATGCCTCCTCAGTTGATGCCCACTCTAAAAATTATGCATGTAACTCATACTTGAACTCCTTGTATCGTCTAGACATGAGTCTATCAACATAATCATAATGTTCTTTAATATTGGTGTCCAAGTCAAAGTTCACCTGAGATAGTTAAAAATGAGTTGTGATTTTAATCCAATAAAATTCAAACCAAAACTAAAAGAAAATACATTATGTTTATAAAGTAAAATTCAAGTCATTATAGATATTATTACAAAGTATATGTCTTAAATTAATGGTTCTACTCACAGTGATGTCCGAGATGAGGTTTGACTTTGACCTGTCAAACATTCTTTTCCAATAGATCGTGTTCATTGGGCAGTCCCATATCATGTGCCAACAAGCTATGAACAACTTTACCAGTTGCTCGCCTATGCACTGGATCAATAACGACCTTGATCTTTTCTTGCGAAATACGAACAATATGATTGGTTTTAACCAACCGACATGCCCCACACATTGGTATTTCATCTGGTCAGTTTGGTATAGAACCATTAACACCTACAATGGAAAAGTAAAAATGCATTAATATGCAATGATAATCGGTGTAACGTAATGACATTGTTCATCATGGTATATAACATTAGTTTTTTTAATTTCTTACTTCGGTGTCGACGACGAACTGCACTCCTCTTTCTAGTAGGTGCTTCAGTAGGTAAATCATTATGAGTATCATCAAGCTGGGATCCTGCTACGTCTCGATGTTGATAAGAAGAGGTCCCGCTCGCACCACTTATGGTCTGGGAACGAGTACAGGGCGAAGAAGGTATGGTG